GAAAGTATCCTTGGGAAAGTATCCCAAGGCAACCTAAAGGCCAAAAACAAAACAAAACACCCCACCAAACCCCACTAACTATGACAAATTTCAGAATATTTTAGCATGAACTGCTGTCTTAATTATGTCCTCTGCTGTCACTATCTGTTGTGGCCCGTACGCAGCCTGTGCGGCTGGTTGCTGATTTGGACAGCGAGGAGGCTGGTGTGGTGCTGCATCAGCAGCCTGTTCAGCTGGCACTTGAGTCAGACAATGAGGAGGCTGGAGAAGATGTGGTGCCAGAGGCGGGGATTCAGCCAGGGCCTTCAGAACCTCCAGAAGCTCCCTTAAGTGAAGAGGACGAAGAGGAGGAGCCTCTTCTTGATGCACGGGCGCGCAGAGCTGCCAAAAGGCAGAAGTGGCTCCTCAGGAGGAGGTCTCCTCAAGAGTAAGGCTTGGGGTTAATTGGCCACTCCCTTAGCCTATTTAAGGAGGAATGCTGACTGAAGCAATTTGCAGGGAACAACCTTTCACTCTATTTCTTGCCTTGATCTTAGTTCTCTGCAAATTGCTTCTGGGCTTTCTGTCAACCATAGTAAGATTAAGATTATTTATTCTTTGGATTCTTGCAGGCTGTTAAGAAAGTTAATTGTTTGAAAAAAAAAACCTGATTTTATTTTAGTAAACTAAGATTTGTACAGACTGTATGTGCTGCGTTCTTTGGGGTAGCTGGGGCAGAACACTATCTGGAAAGCGGGCAGCAAAGGAAAGTTAAAAAAAACCCACCAAAATACAATTTAAGCAAAGAATTACATACCAGAAACATCTTTATTTCCAAGCAATAAGATTGTATCACTTTCCAAACTCTAGCGAATTTTTGATACTCAGATGTTTCTCTTGTCCAGCAGAATCTACTTTGTCCCCCTATTCCTCTTTAGCCTTGTTAATTATTTACAGGAACAATGGTGCTCTTCAGCTTGTTCACTGTTAATTGTTCCATGTATATGCAAAGCATAACTGAACTTTAAGATTATGAATAGTTTACTACCTAGAGCTTTATCTTGCATTGGTTCACATCTCACACAGAATACATTCCATTTAGATGGTGTTCAAAAGCAAAAGATACATAAAAAGAAGCAAGTCTCTTTTTACACTGAAAATGAGTAGTTCATTATTGAAGCAACTGTCCAAAGCTCGCCTTAAAAAATTTCACTGTTATGGCAACATTTACAGGTAGTCCTTGACTTATGACCACAAATGAGCCCAAAATTTATGTTGTTAAGCGAGACCATTGTTAAATGAATTTTGCCCCATTTTACAAAGTTTCTTGCCACAGTTGTTAATTGAATCACTGAGGTTGTTAAGTTAGTAACACAGTTGTAAAGTGAATCTGGCTTCCCAATTGACTTTGCTTGTCAGAAGGTTGCTAGAAGGTGATCACATGCTTCGAGGTCACTGCAACCATCATAAATATGAGTCAGTTGCCAAGCATCTGAATTTTGATCATGTGACATATGGAGATGTTGCAACGGTCGTAAGTGTGAAAAACTGTCATAAATAACTTTTTATAGTTCATTTTAACTTTAAATGGTCACTAAGTTAATTGTAAGTTGAGGATTACCTATATAGAGTGTAGCTCTCTAAAACAGATCTATGTAGAATAAATCCTCATATTTTAAATTTAGCACAATGCACATGTATTCCCAGCACATTTTTGGATTGTGCTAAAAAAGAACAAAAATTGTTCTAATCAACGCTTGCTATGAAGCCAGAAGAATCTTCAGTGTAATTGATCTGATTCTTCATATTTAAGGTAGAATCTCTATCTATCTATCTATCTATCTATCTATCTATCTATCTATCTATCTATCTATCTTATCTATCATCTCAGGTTAGCCTTTTACAGCATAGCTGAGTTAATCCAGAGTATAATGTGCCACATTTACTGCCACAAGCAGAGACCAGAAACACATGTTATGCAAACTGAAATGCATTTAATTCAATGCTCAGGCAAATGAATTAATATTTATGACAGAATTTATGGCTGGAAAGGGCCATTTGGGTCATTGAGTCAAATTACTTGCTCTGTGCAGAATGTAGATTAAAGCATCGTCAGCAGATGGATGGATGTTTAATTTCTGCTTGAAAACATCTACCAAATCTATCGTGCTGCAACAGTTCTGGAAGGAGAGAGAAACCTCCTTATAAATACTAACCAAGGACAAGTATCCAGATTCTTAAAGAAGATTTTCTCCTGCTTTGAGGTATTTTTGACAGTGACAAACTCTTCTTATTCAAGTGACTACCCCTCATTCATTTAAATAGCAGCATAAAATAACCTTGCTGAAACCCTCCACATTCCCTTTCATTCTCTTGTTTTCCCCTTCTCTAAACCTGTTCTTACTTTCTCCTCATACTCTCTTCTTTTCCTACTTTTACTGTTTCCCACTTCGTTCATTTTTGTTATTGTTCTCTTTTCGGTACGCTTGTATGTATGCAGGAATGGGGAAATATATAAAGGGGAAAAAGAAGATAACTCTTGACTAGTTAACTTCCACACTAGGTGAAGTTTCATTTAATATACCTTACCTTTAGGCACACAGCCTTCTGAAAGCAAATTGGATGTGTGGGATTTAAATTTCCTACTGTATGATTGATTTCAAGCCTCCCCTGATTTATCTGGGAGTAAACTTTACTGAACTAAATAAGCTCATTTCTAAATTGCCATACCTAAAATTGGGTTGGTACTGTACTGGAAAAATAAATGAATAAACACATGAATATTTTTGGTAATTACATGCATGCTGGTTTCAGCACTGGGGAAAAGCCATAGCTCCACGATAACAAGCCTTCCTAATGGAAATATTAAAAAGATACAACAAATGTATGTTTGTGTTGCTATAAATGGGGCCTGCATAGCTCGCAGAGGGGAAAGGGCCACACTGATAAATAAAAGCAGTGGGGCTGATGGTGTTCGGTCACGACAGAAAGTGTTGGAGGTGCTTAGCAGTGTCTTGTGGGGAAACTATGCTGATGGATCCTTCCTGGCAGTTGTGATATTTGGGGGCATTGAATATACAGAGTTTTTATAAAATGCTTGGTGGCCCACACATCTGGGCTACATGTTGTGCAGAAAACAAATGTGCTGGAAAGGCTATTTGTAGGATTCACCTACCCTTCATTTATTTCAAAAATAAACTTGTTTTCCAAGTGCAAGGGAGCAGTGCTTTTTACTTATGTGACTGAAACTTTGCATTTACTTATTTTTTTAGTGGATTATGGCTCTTAATCTCTAGAAAGCCAAGAGTTACATGGGCATTCAAGTCAGTAGTGGGTTCCAACCAGTGTTACCACCGGTTCTCTTCGCGCATGCGCTTTGCGCTCGCACATGTGCCGAACTTGTGTTCTGCGCAAGTGCATTTGGTTTCTACCCAGCTGAGGTGCGGCATTCAACTCTGCCACACTTATCAGCTGGGCTACAAAACAAGAAATAAAGATAGGAATAAAATGGGGGCGGGCGGGAGGGCCCAGCTCTCAGTCTAAGACTATGATGGCAAACCTATGGCATGTGTACCAAAGGTGGCACGCGTAATCATATCAGTGGGCACGTGAGCTCAGCTTCCGATGGGACTGGAAGTTGTCAAACGGGCCATTTTTGGCCTCCGGAGGATCTCCGGAGGGGTGGGGAAGGCTGTTTTTGCCCTCCTCAAGAGGTCCTGGAGCCAGGTGAGAAAGAAAAACAGGCCTTCTGGGCCATTGCGTGCCAGGAGCGGGGTGAGTGGAGGGTGGATGGGTCGCATAGAATTATGGATGTGGGCACGTGCGACCCCCCCCTGCCCCCCCTTCCTGGCATGCGATGGCAAAAAGGTTAGCCATCACTGGTCAAGAGAACCGGTTCGGTGATGTCACATTGTCACCACTACTGGCTCAGCCGAACCGGGCCGAACCAGGAGCAACCCACCACTGATTCAAGTGGTACAGTACTCAGAAACTATTTTCTATTACAGGAGTTATCCATGAATATATAAAGATCACACTGGCTACTCTAGTGAAGTCTTAGTGCACATATGCTCCAAATTCAACCCATTCATGGGTTATAAAATGATAATGAAATACAGGCAAAAGAGATAATAAATGATTTGTCCTGGGTCCTGCCACAGAATGCAAAATCTGTGAGGATATTTAATGCTGTTTATGAACCAGAATTGCCAATTGATCAAAAATAACATTAGCTTGACATCTTTATGTTTTTCATTATTGCTTCATTTTATTTAATTATCGCTTCATACACAGAAATTAGCAGATGCTTGTCATTTCTTACAAACAGAAATTTTCTATAATGATTACCATCATGATGTGGAGAAGAGAATAAGCTAAAGTGTGTCTATGCATTACAATGGCTTTCTATAACTTTCAGTATCAGAGGCAGAACGCTTTCAAACCCTATTGAAAATACGATTCGCATGAACTGGTAGTAAAAAATGCTTTAAAAAAGTTTTTAAAAAGGTTCCCAAGATTGTGCGCCACAGCTGATCCCCCACCCTGCTGTTCTACTTACCTTCCCAAGCCTCCTTTTGGCGTGTACTGCGTATGCACAGTGCGCATGCATGGCCAGTGAACCGGTAGCAAACCGGTTCAGATTTCACCAGTGCCCTATACCATTCCAGACAAGTGGATGTCCAGTCTCTTCTTAAAGGCTCCAGTAATGGCATATCCACAGCTTTTGAAGGCAAGCTGTTCCATTGGTTAATTGTTTTCACTGTTAGGAAATTTCTGCTTAGTTCTAGGTTGCTTTTCTCCTTGATTAGTTTCCATCCATTGTTTCTTGTCTTGCCTTCTGTTGCTTTGGAGAATAGGTTGACCCCCTCTTCTTGTGGCAGCCCTTCAAATATTGGAAGACTGCTATCATGTCTCCCCTACTCTTTCTTTTCATTTTACTCTGTAAAAAACATTTTACATTTTATTCTGCCACTTCATTCAATTTCTTGAAGCTACTGAATACAGTAGCTTGCCTTCCTTCCTTCCTTCCTTCCTTCCTTCCTTCCTTCCTTCCTTCCTTCCTTCCTTCCTTCCTTCCTTCCTTCCTTCCTTCCTTCCTTCCTTCTTTCTCTCTTTCTCTCTCTCTTCTTTTTCTTTCTTTCTCAGGGGAGATTTTTAAAATATTATAGGTCAGAGATGGCAAATCCATGACACGCGTGTCAAAGATGTCATGCGATGATGTTTTGAAAGACAGACCATGGTTGACCAACACCTGATAACATCTAGTCTCAAAAGCAAGCCCCATTTTCACTTGATTTTTGGAAGCTGTGGAGGCTGCATAAGAATGAAGTGTGCTCAGCACGGCCTCCTGATCCCCTGGAAGCTGTGCAAGAGGGATGTGCTCTTGTTCAGCCTTTGGAGCATCTAAAAATTGCCCAAGAATGGGATGTGCTTTTCTCTGGTGTTCAGAGACTGCAGAAGCCGTGGATAAAAATATTCTCTGAAGCTGCTTCAAGTACGAAGATCTCATGTAAACTGGAGCCATCTCAGGCAGACCGCAGGGGCCTATCAACAGAAAGAGAACAACATCTGAAGGGAAGCAGCATGCAGCAAATCTAGAGGAACAATGCGAAGTGGCCTTTTTCACCTTATGGCTAAAGTCAAGGCTGGATCTCAGCCAAGTGCTGCTGTTCAAGGTGGCCTAGATAGGGTGGGATGGGGTGGAGTGGGGTGGGATGGATGAGGTAGAGAATTGTTTATCTTTTATTTGTATGTATGCATGTGTGATACACCAACAGAGTCAAGTAAGGCATTTTCTGAATTTTTGACACATCAGGCCCAAGAGGTTGATCACCACTGCTATAAGTGTAATGAAAGCAGAGATCTGAGAACCCATTCTTAGATTACTGCTGATATACTGTATATGAGTAATTTTTTCAATAATCCATTGTAAGTCTGCATTGGTTAATACAACATGCGAAGGAAAAGTTTTGCTTATGTATATGCTGCACATTAACGAATACTGTGGCTTATATTTATTATTTATTTAGTGCAGGGCATATCATACATGTACTAGCCATATAAATTAATTTTTCATCTAAATTAATAAAACCCAATAAAATATAAATCTTAAAAAAGAATTATGTTCAAATACCAATGTCCAGGCCGTTTAACCATTGATGTCCAACATTATTTATATTAAAAAAAAATCAGATACTGGACTGGCATATGCCCTCAGTTTATAGCCAGTCACAATGTGATTTGCAGTTTGATTTTGGATGCTGCAGACACATTGAGAGGAGGATATTATGTCTCATTTATATACAGTAGAGAGTCCTGGCATATTATATACCGTGTGAGGTGCAAATCTTATATATAATAAATTAATAAGTTTTATTCAAGCAACCAAAGTTAAACAAGGCATGTCTTAACATGATGTAGAACATGATGATGGTGTGGTCCTTTCCCAGTGAGGGCTTCTGAATCAACTATATGTTTTCTCCACAGGTTTCAGCCTTTGCCATGTCATGTTGTTGGCCAATTGCATCTCCTTTGAATTGAAAGCTCACTTTTTGAATTGCTTCCAAAACATGTGAATTGTGTTTGCTTAGCAATGGGCTTTTCTGAGCCAAAAACAGCAGATTTGAAGTTTGTCTAGTTTGGCTTTTATCGTCCTATCCTGTTTATTTGCATAGCAGCCAGCTGCCTTAAACCTTCCTGTTTGCTTGTTTGTTTGTTCATAATATCATGAGATGTACAGTTGCATTTTCCCTATTCAATATAGCCTGAAAAATGTGAGTTATTGTAGAGCAGACTAAGGGACCTTCCACAACATACATATTCTTTCTGCTAACTAAGGGAAAGGCAACTTGTGCCCCCCAAAGCACCAGAGAAGGGAAGCTGAAATATGAGGTCTGATTTTTTTTCTCTCTTTTATTACTGGAGGCTTGAGGGAAGATTAAGGGAATCTTAAATCTTGCACAGACATTCATTCTGCCTCATAAATATTCCCTCAAAGCCTCAAAAGGTGATAAAATGTCCAAGCATTGAAACTTTTTAACCAATCCATTCTTAGGTAGGGCACTTGTCTTTAAATCACCATTTGCCACCTGCATTATAAATTATTGTATAGTTTGTTTGATTTTAATTGAACATGTCATGTGAATTCTGTGCCTTGTTTGGGTGCATGTTGTGGGTTCTTTTACAAAATGGCTGCCATTTGCCTGCTAATTCAAAAAATGACAATCAAATCAAAGGTGGGTTTCAGCAGGTTCTGACCAGTTCTGGAGTAGTTCGGAGAACCGGTAGTAAAAATTCTGACTGGCCCTGCCCCCATCTATTCTTTGCCTCCCAAGTCCCAGCTAATTGGGAGGAAATGGGGATTTTGCAGTATCCTTCCCCTGAATTGGGGAGGGAATGGAGATTTTACAGTATCCTTCCCCTGTCAGCCCACCAAGCCACGCCCATCAAGTCATGCCATGCTCACCAAGCCACACTCACAGAACCAGTAGTAAAAATTTTTGAAACCCACCACTGACTCAAAGGGGTGATTTGTCAGTTCCCAAATATCATTTTAACAGAAGCTAAATTGGTAAGATTGCTTCTAACCAATCCCTCTAAGCATTAAAATTTAATCTTTGCAAGGAGCAAAGAAGCAAGTGAATATCAAACCTCTCTATTATTGTTATTTTCAAAGGCTGCCCTCGAGGCTTTCTTATAAATAAAGGCTGTGCTAAAGGCTGGTACTTTCCTTTGTAAAATGCCACAATTTCATTTCATTAATTAAAAGAAAAAATAAAGTTAGGGCAGTTCTATTGTTGATGGAGATTTGCAGATGCTGCTCTCGCTCTTTGTCTTTACAGGTTTTTCAGAGACTTCTTTTGAAATTTTTTTATATAGTTCATCATTGTCCAAGAATAACATGAAGGCTGTTTTCATAGAGACAATTTGCTGGTGCTAAAATTGAGAGAGTTGCTAGATGTCACTCATTAAATACTGCACTTATGACAGATTAATAGGGTTTAGGATTTGAGAGCAAAAAGGTGAAGTGTGGGGAGGCCACATAGGATCTGACTGCACTCATAAAAATAGTTGTGTCTCTTCTTAATGTCATTCAGCCACTTCCTAGGAAAAGTATTTGGCTTAAAAGGGGGATGGGTAAGACTTGAGAAGATGACCTGGCCTGTTTCAATAAGAATCCAGCTATTTCTCATTGAGAAATGAACAGCTATGAAGCCTATGTAGTAAAGGCAGTGGGGAAAAGTGTCATATTTAAATCTTGGGAACTGCAACATAAAGACTTGAACCCTAGAATTTGCAGGGTCTTCCTTTCTTCATTACCTGCAAATACCTGCAATCAAAATATTTTATCAGAGCATTGTCCTTGAATCACTGCCTGGGAGCCTTTTAGTTCAAGTATTGGTTGGGATAAAACATGACCTAAGGAGCTGCACAGAGGAGCTATGACTGCCCCATGCCCTTCACAGCAATTTTTGCCTTCAAATATCAAGGTGACCAAAGCCTAAAAAGTCAATAATGCTATCATCTCAGAGCAGAATTAAAAGGACTTGTGTGCCGTTTTTGTCAATCTTTACAATTTTACCTGTCATATTAGTTTGGTGAACACTGTCACAGAATGACAAGCTATCTTTGCTCCTTAATCTCCAATTAATATTTAAAATTCTTTTGGTTAGCACTGTTTCCAAGTTCAGGGGACAACTTGAGCAAGATCTTCTCAAAATCCTCACCGTTCCTTGAGTGGACCTACCTCTTTGCCACAACTTCTGCCTCTGTTTCATTCCGGCCCAGTCTGCAGGAACTTCATGGAGGAAAGGACAGGCATAGAGACTCTGCTTCCCTTTCACTGTTACTGGTTTGAAAGAAGGCAGGAAAACAAGCTTCAACTGCAACAGCAAACAGCAGCAGGCTGTGGGCCTTGGCAGTGACTGAAGGACGATAACCCCTGGCCCTGCCTAAAGAAACTGTGGAGATCAAAAGCCCTATCAGACAGCTTGAGCCTCCTGGAAAAAACAAAGAGTACCAAGCGGGAGGATTAGTCAATTTTTACAATGTACGTATCAATATTAGCAATGAGTAACAGCTTTTGTTATTTACATTTTTGTAAGAACCTCATTTGTTTTACTGTCAAGAACTTTCCCCCCTAAATACAAAATTGAGCACAATAAAATTGCAAATCAGGTCGCAGGATTCAATTTCTTGTCGCTCGTTCATCAAGGAGAGAATTTAATTTGGATTTGTAGCATACTGTTTTTCAAACAGCTTTGAATTAAGTTTAAGACAACGGTCTAAGCACCTGGGGCTAAGGAACTGCATGGAAAAGAGAGAACATGTTTTCAATAGTAAATGGCTGAAGCCTGGGGAATCATCTGCCATCTGCTCTTCTCCATTGCATGGCTAAGGGAGAAAATGGCAGGCTTTCAGAAGATGAATGTTGCAGCCGCTTAACAAAGACATTGCCTTATACCCAACACATTTGCTTTTACTTTTAAAGTCCCTGCTCCCTTTCTTCTTCTTCTTCTTCAAATTAATCCATCAAGAAGAAACAGCCAGCTGTGAATAGCACTGCCTATAAGATCTCTGTGTAGATTAGCAGCATGTATTTCCTCCAGTACTATTGACACTTCAATTTTCTCTTTAATTCTCACCCTGGAACACCAGGGATGCAGCAGATTTGAATGGCTGTTGTTTGAAGCAAGAGGCAAAGCTAGTTTAGGTTGGAGCTAACAACCAGATCACGAGTCAGAGGCAAGAAGGATGTAAGTGCAGCAAACATCCAATTATCAAACAGTGCTGTTAACCTTTGGGACCAATTGGCTACCCAGATCTGGATCTTTTGTTTTCTCCTTAATTATCAGCAAACGGTTAATCAATAGTGTCTGTTTTTACTAAGTGACAGCCCATTAATGTTCCCTGAAGTAGAACAGATACACATACAAAAAAACACATATCCAGCCTGGTAATCGGTGGGAAAAGACTATAAGGACTCCTAATTAACATGGTGACAGGGAAATCCCAGAGCTGAATGCTCAGTTCTGAGGGCTATCAGATTAGGAATGGTTGATCTCAGCCTTGATTGCTTTGTCCTGTGTCTGTGAAATGCATCCATTTTGCAAAACTGACCAGACCCATAAGAAAATCCCTCAGGACTCCCACAATGTCAGCTGTGATCTCGTGGTTGCATGTTGCAAAAAGCATTTTGAATAATCCATAGAGCAGGTTTCATATAGTGGTAAAGCATCAGGCTAGAAATCCTGGAGATTGTGAGTTCTAGTGTTGCCTTAGGCACAAGCTAAATTTTGTGACCTTGAACAGACAAGAGCAAAACGCTTGTGAAAAACCTTGACAAGGAAACTGCAGAAATTTGTCCAGGCCATCACCAAAAATCCACACTTTTGATGGCGTGCACACACAGACACAAACAAATAAATGACTCATCCAGCAGATGAGACCTCTAAAAAGGAAGGTCTCTGCTTATGTCTCAGCTGCATGAATAGTCTACACTTGTGTGCACTGCCCCCACATTTTGTTTTGTTTTGTTTTTTTGTTGGAGAAACTAACTCTTTAAATATAGTTATAAGTGAAAATCCCACTGAATTTAGTTGGACTGATTTCCAGATAAGCATTCTTAGGACTTAGCTTCAAAAGCTCACTGCTTATTGGAAATGGATGGACTGCCTCTATTTTAAACAAACGATTTAAGTTTCCACTGTAATCTCTGAATGTGACAAAATTTATGAAAGGTTTCCTAGACATCAAGAACTTGGTGTGTGTGTGGTGGTGGTGGTGGGGTTGTGGATGCAGAGGAATCAACAGAGATTTAGGAAAGGCTGCTCTCTCAAATTCTTTCAGCTTTCAAAAATAGTTTAGCACAGAGATACTCAACAATGCAAACCGATAGTTTAAATAGTTTATTTTTTTGGATCAGCTTTGTGGCTTAGAGCAGAGGTCTCCAACCTTGGCCACTTTAAAATTTGTGGACTTCAACTCCCAGAAATCATTAGCCGTGCTGGGGAAGTTGAAGTCCACAAGTCTTAAAGTGGCCGAGGTTGGAGACCCCGGCTTAGAGTACATTCTCACGTTCTTCTAACTGTGGCCTGCTGCAGGAGCGCCTCTTCACCTCTAGTGTCAGCCTCTGCTCTTTCGATCCTTGCTTGCTTGGCTGCCATGGAAACGGGGGAGGGGGAGCTAGGGGGATTCTTGGGGGAAAGTGAATCTTTGCTGCAGTTCTTTCTTTGAAGTTGATATGTTTCAAAGTCAATGGTCATGGCATACCAGGAGGATGACACTGCCAGACGTGTGCTCCCACATGACCCCAGGAGGACCTGTGGATTGAATGATTTACGCTGGACAGTTGGGAGGGGATGCTTTCTATATGTGATTTTTGCACCTATGCTTCAGATCTTGCTTTTCTAGGGTTGCATTCAGTTCATATTCAGTAAAAGTACCTTTCTTCAATGAAAATGGAGTTGGGGTTTTTCTTTCTTGAGTATTGAAAGGAGGCACACCTGACACTTATGGTTATTTTGGCCTGGGTTGTAGGATAGGGGAGACACTAAGGAGAAATTTCCTGAGAATGAGAACAATTAACCAGTGGAACGGCTTGCCTTCAGAAGTTCTAGGTGCTCCATCACTGAAGCTTTTAAGAAGAAACTGGACAGCCACTTGTCTGGAATGGTATAGAGTCTTCTACTTGAGCAAGGGGTTGGACTAGAAGACATCTAAGGTCCCTGCCAACTCCGTTATTCTGCTCTGTTCTTATACACCTGACTTCTACTGGGAGCCCATCCATTTAATGCCTCATTGTAAAAGCATTCCTCAAGCATTATGTAGGTTTACAGTTTTTTTGAACGAGTGTTACACCTACTCTCTCCTACACCATTTTCAGTTTTATGTGGTATTTCTAGGTGCTGGACAGAAGACAATCCTTGCCAAAAGCACTATTATTCCCTTGCAGAAAATGTCAATTCTGCTCTTCTAAACCTATCCTCTGTACCTGTGACCTGTCAGTCATGTCATTTTTAGTCATGGATTTAGCACTCTTTCAAAAGAGCACTAGTCTTATATTTTTTAAAAAAAAAATTCCTGATGTTAGAGTCACCAGCTAATTTTGAGCTGGCAATTTAAAAGGTGGCTAAAGCCACTCCCACTTGTCTGTACATGAATTATCCCACCATGAAGTAGCAGAATTTGTCAATGATCTTCTTTAACTTGTTTGACAGCAAAACTATGAAATAGCACCTCACTGGCTTAGTCACTGAAGTAGAATAAGGTATGGTAATTGGGGTGATGCAATTTATGATTATGGTATATACTTTTCTGCTGAGTCAGAGATTAGAGGAATGCACATTAATATGACTGTGAAGAAGATCTCGTAGTCTCGTGTGAATCTACAAACCATGATTTTTTAGTTAACTATTATTAAGTAGTCTATTGTCTAATACAGTTGTGAATCTATCCATAGTCTCTCATGAGATAAAAAAACACCGACATCTAGGTGAACCCATTGGCATGATGTATGATCACAAAATAGTTGTCCACAACAATGTTCTGATCATATGCGAGCTATGCTCTATTTAATCATGGCTTCCTGAAAAAAATTACAATTTGCTGAGTTTGCATTACATGTGAAGCCATAGACAGTGGTATGCAATCCACAGTGGCTGGAACAGTACAAAATGCTAAACCTCATATAAGAAAACTATATTATAGCATGACATCTTATCTAAATCTTGCCTCAGCATATATCTTCATTTTCATTTTTTCTTTTTTGCATTGAATCATTATACTTCAGGTCCTCTGCTTCCACAAATTAAATGCTTTCATATTCAGCAAGATTTAAATGGGGGGTAATCTTTTATTAAGGCTTTTATTTAAAAAAAAATATTAGCAATATCATATTTAATTGCTTTATACTAAATACATTCCCGAAGATAAGAAATGTTGGGATTCTGAAATGTACTCTTTTATGTAATTATTAAAGATCCTGTCCTTCTTTCAATCAATGGCAATCTAATTCACTCCCTAATTTTTGTATTGTAAAGCCTTTGCAATGCAAACAGAAAACATTAAGTACTGCAGATGGAAGCAACATACCAAGCAACAAGAACAATCTACCCTTAACTAAAATTTCAATATTCCTTCGAATATGTTCTCACTTATTTGATATTCTCGGTGAGAATATCAGCAGACCTTTACACGGCAAAGGTCTTAACTTATGGCACTTTCAAGCCATCAAGTTTATTACGAAACAAGCTTATATGGACTTTGCTTTTATTATTTATAACCATTTTTTAACCGATATGCACTCACAGCAGTCAAAAATCAAATATAAATTGGATAAAATATAATATAATAAAAATAATTATTCCTCATGAGAAAAAAAAAAAGGTCCGACTGAATAGGAATGTTTTGGTTCTTTTCCCAAAGACAGCAAAAGAATCGTATGTAGATATTGGGGGAAAAATATTTCAAGGTTAAGCAAACGTGGAAAAACGTGTCTGAAGACTGAGAAAAGCAGCGGGGAGCAATAACTGAGTGTTAGAGTGCCAAAGAGGCTCTAGCCTAAATGAAAACAATCAAAATACTTGACTCATTCTTGGTCGTTTGTGCTCTTGGGATGTAAAAACAAGTACAGTTTTTTTTAAAAGGTCTGTCAGCTGTGATTTTTGTTTGTTTGATTATATTGGTAAGTTCGGAGAGTCGACGGGAGTCGGAAACCATATTATCCCATCACACAGTAGTGCAAGTATCTAAACTAAATCTCTTTTTTTGAGCCACTCGCTTCACTTTTTACAGAAATCAATAGGTGTGTACCGCAGAATCTAGCCTGCTACTCCAGGCTGCTTTGCCAATGGCTGAAGCAGAACAGTAGGTGGAGCCACGTCGGTTTGAGAGACACGTGTACAAAGGAACCAGGAAGTGACTGCCGGAATTGGAGTAGCCGCTGTATTTTGCAACGACTGGGTGATCTTATTGAGTGTATGTAGTGAATTATTATTTTTAAATAGAATGGGTTATTATAATTTTTTTTAAAAAAATCCA